AAGACTATATTCTCCCCAAGGATTTTTTTTTGGGGGGGGGGGTAGTATGGGTCCGTCCGTAATGGTCAGGACGAGGCCAAGGCCACGGAGGCTGTCCAGCCATGGGGTCCTGAGTTCCCTGCTCCGCCATGGCCTTCTGAACTGTCTGCTCCGCCATGGCCTTCTGAGTTCCCTGCTCCGCTGTGGCCTCCTGAACTGCCTGCTCATCCATGGCTTCCTAGTCTGCCTGCTCCGCCATGGGTCCCGGAACGGGTACCGCCCTGGAGGCCGTCCGTCCCTGCATGCCTATCCTCAGAGGCCTCCAGAGCGCCCACCGCCCCTCCCTGATGGAATTGTTATGGTGCGGGACGCACCTACTGGGAGGGTGGAGTAATGTCAGACTCTGTTCCGTATTTTGTGTTTTGCTCCCCATGTGCTTTCCATGACCCGTTTTCCCTCATGTGCAATTATGTTTATTGATCCCAGGTGTTCCTCGTCAAGTCCTGTGTATTTATAGTGTTTCCAGTTTTGAGTTCACTGTGCTGTCTTGATCGTCAATCCTCGTTCCTACGTGTGTTCCATGTGGTAAATAAAGATTGTTGAATTCTCCTACGTCTCCTTCACTCCTCACTCCGACACAGTAGGCAACACCGTGACACATATACAGGTGCATCTCAATAAATTAGAATGTCGTGGAAAAGTTAATTTATTTCAGTAATTCAACTCAAATTGTGAAACTCGTGTATTAAATACTTTTCCACGACATTCTAATTTATTGAGATGCACCTGTATGCTAGTTATATAATTTATAGTCGGGAGAGTGACAGATAATAGCTTCTGTAATTTTTACCACAAAATTATGCAATTATAATTATAAAATTGATTTACTTGCTCATTAAAATGTAATAACTTTGGACGAGTGTTATTTTACCGTTATTTATTTATATGATACTATAGTTTCTATAAATATTTTAAATTAGTTTTAATTTTTATATTGTCAGTTTTCATTTTCCATTAATTTTAAGATTACTTTAATATTACTAAAAAGGTTTCATTTATTGCCAAATCAAAATTTCTAATTTTAGTTTTTAATCTAATATTTATATTTGTAAGATTTATTTCAGCTTCACTTAACAAAGATGTTTTTCATAGTTTTTGTACCCGATAATACCCCTTCTTGGGACAGCAACGTAATATGTGTTGTGTTTTTGTCTTCTGTCACAGATTTATATGAATGCAGCATGGCATGGCTGGGCTATTCCTTTGTTTCTATTCTTAGCCATTCTGAGGTTGTCATTGAACTACCTCATAGCCAGGTAAGACAATGTTTCCTTTTTTTACTAGTATGTCATTGAAAATGGGTTAAATTTAAAATGTTACCTAGATTTAACACATTTCTAGTTGTTGTTGTATATTGGCTGAAATTTCCAGTCGTAAGAATGAATATACTACCAAAAGATCAGTACTCATGTTAGCATATTTGATCAAAAATAATGTACACTCAGACAGTCATTATCACTGTACATATACAGTACATGTATTAATGCCATACCTGTATATTACAACAGAATAAACATATATTTTGTACACATACATACAGTATGTATTTTTTTTTTAATATATAGAAACATATATGTATCAGAAACTGACTTAATATTTTTCTTGTTTTTTTTTCTATAGAGGATGGAGAATTCAGTGGAGTATTGTGCCTGAAGTTTCTGAGCCTGTGGTAGGAATGTTCTTCCTGGTTAATATTTGTCAGTCACTTTTTTTATGTTGTGCATATTTCATTTTTTTCCCCCTTCTTCCAGGAACCTTCAAAGGAAGATCTAACTGTGTCTGAAAAGTTTCAGTTGGTTCTCGATGTTGCACAAAAAGCACAGGTAACTTTACACTTGAATTATTATACTTTAATTTGAATAAAAACATTTACACTATTTGTCAAGAATTTGGGCACACTTTATTGTTTCTCCTGATCGGAAAACTTTTTGATCTAAATCATTTTGCTATTATGTATGCATTTCTTTACAAAACAATTTTTTTTGACCTGATAGTGAAAGATAAGCAGCCAACAACTGTTAAGCATACATGGAAATTTCTTTAATATTATTTAAAAAGTAACCCAGGATACACCTCATGAAGTTATTTGAAGAATGCAAAAAGTACATGAGCAGTGATCAGACCTGTATGAGCAGAGTCTGTGATCTAGACAAAGATTTGTTGTTTTATATTTTTTGGTCATCGCTTAATTCACATTCTTCCATTCATATTATTTAATAGTTTTTGAGGACTTTTATTGTATAACCTGAAATATAGTCATAATAAATAATTGTTCTTTTTTGTTTAATTTCTGTTGTGATTTGAAATTTTAGTCTCAAATTTAATTTTGCATATTGTTCTTTTTGACCGACATGTAATAAATTAATGTTTCTACAGAATCTTTTTGGTAAGATGGCAGATGTTTTGGAGAAAATCAAAAAGTAAGTAGCTCTTTTAACTAATATGAGATTAGAAGACAAATTATATTTCAATGCTTTTGTGTTCACTCAAAAAACTTTTATGTTTCAAACTCGAATGTAACATTTGAAAGCAAATGCAAAACTGCCGATGAAAATAATATGCGATGGGAAGAAAATGCAAAGTTTCTCAGCAGGGTGCAAAAAGTTTTGTGGGAGCATTGAAATGTAAGGGCTCTGTACTGTAAACTAATGAATGTTTCTCCGTGTTTGTATGTGTTATGGGTGGATGTTTGTGTGCGTATGTATACATCAGTTTGTTCATGTGGGTTCAGCCTGAGATCACTCAGAAATTGTACATCGCTCTGTGGGTGGCCTTCATCTCCTCTTGCGTCCTTCCCTACAAGCTGATGGGTTTCATGTTTGGTGAGAATCATTACTCATAACTCCTTACATGTACATAAACACCCCATACGCACTAATAACATTCACACACAAACAAAACGCTGTCATTCTAAATGGCTTAGTGTTGCTTTTTATATCAACCATAGACATGTCTGTTGTGTAGCTGTACTGAATGGGTATATTAAAGACAAATCCTTCCTCAGGGGAAGTTCATTGAATGGTGCTCTGCATGAATTGTGACCATGAATTGGGTTTATAATTTGTGTGCAATAACAGTGCAAACATGTTAACATCTGAACATAGTTAGCAAGAGACAATTAGCAACGAAGTACACTACAGTTCTTTTTTTTTTAAGTTAATACTTTAATTCAGCATGGAAGCATTTTTTTAACCAAAAGTTATGTGAAAAGTGAAAGATTTATACATTGTTACAAAAAAAATCTAGTTAAATAAATACTGTTTTAACTTGTATTCATCAAAGCATCCTGAAAATAAAAATGTATCACGGTTTTCAAAATTTAAGTAGCACAATAATTTACAACATTGATAATAATTAATGTATCTTGAGCACCAAATCAGCATATTAGAATGATTTCTGAAGAATCATGTGACACTGAAGACTGGAGTAATGATGCTGAAAATTCTGCTTTACCATCACAGAAATAAATTACAAACTATATTTTAAAACTATATTAAAATAGAAAACAGATTTGAAATTGTCATAATATTTCACAATATTACTGTTTTTACTTATTTTAAATACGTACATACAAACATACATACATACTTTTGAATGGTTGTGTGCATTTGTAAAATTTCAGGGAGTTTAAGAAATTTTGTGTAACGTCTTTTAGCAAACTAGAGGATCCTGGTAAATTAAGTGTGCTTCCATCATGGTCCATAAAATGAAAGTTGAATTATTAAATATATTGAAATCTACAAAGTTGTTTTGTGCTGAAATCTAGCAGTCTAAAGTTGTAGTTGTTTTATAATTCTCATGGTGTGTGTCTTTTCTCTGGCAGGGCTTTACGCGGGCATCAAGTTCTTTATTATAGACTTCCTGTTTAAGAGCTGCCCAAAACTCCGAGACAAATACGACACTCCGTATATCATGTGGAACAGCCTGCCCACCGACCCTCAGCTGAAAGAACGCAGCAATGCCACTGTGTCACGACGGGTGAGAGAGAAAGAAATGATGTCATGCTCTAACACCAGCCTCCTGGGTGTTTTCACACTTTAAATGTCATACCTTTTTGAAATGTTTGTTTCAAAGTATCGGGCACTGTAATTATGTGTGTATGAGAGTGATGGGTGTTACCTCGTAAGGGAAACATCAGTGTAGGTAATTGACATGACGGTCACACATAATCTGTTGTCTTTCTCTCCCAGCTGTCTGGGTGTGAGAAGGTAGGGATTGTGATGTGCTTCTGCCAGCACCTGTGTATGTGTGTGTGTGTGATGAGACCTTTCTTCACCTTGTGTGTTTGAATCTAGATGCACAGTGTGATATGAATTTTGTCTGTGCTCAAATGGATCAAAATGGCCATATAGTCCCAATGGCCCAATTGACGTTACTGGGTGAATCTATCAAAGAAACATCCATGTTGTTTTCACTGACCAGCTTTTGATTTTGATTTTGATGGCTACAACACACTCCACAAAAGTTGAGAAAGAGGCAAAATAAAAGTGAAAAGGTTATAGAATATCCAAATTAAACAGTTCACAATAAACAGGTGAATTGGTGAGGGGATCATGTTTGGGTATAAAAGGAGCATCTCAGTCTTTGCAAGCAAAACTGGATTATGGCTCACCACTTTGTGCCAAATTTCATGAGAGAAGTGTCAAACAAATCAAATCACATTTCTCAATGCAAAATCGCAAAGAATTTAGGTCTTTCACCAACTACTATACATAATATTGTGAAAAGATTCAGGGAATCCACAGAAATCTCAGGGCAAGGCAGGAAACCTCAGTTGAATGTGCATGACCTTTGAGTCCTCAGATGGCATTGCATAAGAAGCGGTCATGATGTGGTGTTAAATATAGCCACATTGGCTCAGGAGAACTTCAGAAAACTGCTGTCACTAAACACAGTTTGCCGCTGCATCAATAAATGCAACTTGAATCACTAACTCTAGGAGAAACTATACATCAGTTCTATGCAGTGATGCCACGGGGTTCTCTGGGCCAGAGCTCATCTCAGATAGTCAAAAAGACAGTGGAAATATGTGCTGTGGACAGATGAGTCCACATTTCAACTTGTTTCTGAGAAAAATGGATGTCGAGTCCTCAGTCCCAAAGACCAAAGGGGCCATCCAGACTTTCATCAGCAACAGATGCAAAGGCAAACATTTGTCATGGTGTGGGGGTGCAGCAGAGCAAATGGCATGGGTGACTGGCAAATATATTGGAATTGTACAGAGACTTATACTGCCATCAAGATAGCGTCTTTCATGGGAAGTCCATGTTTATTAGATCAAGACAATGCCAGATCTCATTCTGCATGTGCTACAACAGAATGGTTTCGTAGCAAAGAGTGAATATACTAGACTTGCCTGCCTGAAGTCCAGATCTGTCTCCTATAATTAAATGTGACCAGTCGTGAAATGGAGAATCAGATAATGACGATCACAGACTGCTGAGCATCTGAAGTCTTGTATCAAGTGAGATTGGACAAAAAAAATTGCTTGCAAAACTTTAACAATTAGTATCCTGAATTCCCAAACAATTAAACATTGTAATGAAAAGGAAAGGTGATTTGACACAGTGGTAAACATGCCTCAGTCCCAACTTTTTTGGAGTGTGTTGCAGCCGCCAAAATCAAAATTTGTTTATATTTACAAAATAAACTTAAGTTGGCCGGTGAAAACATTGGATTTTTTTTCTTTGTACTTAAATTAGTCAGTTAAATAAAGGTTAAAGAGAATTAACAAATAACATATTCTTGATTTTATGGCATTTCAAGAAACATCCGAACTTTTCTGGAATTGGGGTTGTGTATATTATAATTTTCTTTGTTATTATGTGGTGAAATATCAGATGGACATATCTTGATTACTTAATTTCATTAACTGACTGATCTACTGATTGTATTTAATATTAATGATTTTACTTAATATAATCTAATGTAGCTATTGCGATTTAATTTAATGTGTACAACTAATGTGGCATTTTGAATCCATTTTCACAGACTATGTGATGAGTAGCTCTGTGTGTGCATAGATAGTGTTATTCAATACAAAAAGGATCGCTTCGCTCAAAAATGGAGTAGTTTCCATCAGTGCTATTTTATCATTGAGATACTATTATAGTTTTTATTTATTTATTTATTATTTTTTATTGTTTTCTTTTCAGTTTTAGTTCAACCCTGGTTTCCACAATAGTGCAGTATTAGATCATTAGAGGTAGAAATAGTTGAATGTTTGGCTTTAGAACACTGTGTTGTGAGTCTGTACAGAGTGAGATCAATGGCGGTTGCTTCTCTTAAAACATCATTACACTGACAAAAAACCCAACTTACCCACATGAACGCACAAACATACAAAAAAAAACTAACTACGTCTTGCTTACAGTATTAGTGATCAAAATGAAGCCTATTTACTTTCTTATACAGTACATGTTATAATTTCTATTGCATGTGATTCATTAGTGCATGTTTTCCAGAAGAAGAAAAAAAATTAAAAAATGTTTCTTCACAACTATCCTTCTGGCTGACATCACCAAGGCCACATTAATGGAAAACGTACTGGGTTACTAACGTAACCTCGGTTCTCTTTCAGTTTTTACGAATTGGGAATCTCGCAATTAGTGTAAACTAAACGAGCCAATTCACATTGGCATGCAGTGATTGCATTCAGCTGCTGCTGATTGCAGTGCGAGTACAAATACCAGCCGTATTCTTTGGAGCTCCTCCCGACGATTGGATGTCGATCGCTGCATCGGAGGGTGAGCCGGAGCTCTTTGGAGAGGAAGATTCGGCTGTGCTGCCACCCTCCGGAATGGTAGCAAGGCATGAATCGGATCCAGAGATGACGGCTGTGCTTTACCGGGCCGCCGAGAGGGTAGGGCTTGAGTGGAAACCTCCACCACGTCCCAAGCCCTCGAGGTTGAATGACTGGTTTCTTGGGGTGGCCCGCGCTGGTTCTCAGTGCCCACCTCCGGTGCCATTCTTCCCGGAGGTGCATGAGGAGCTCACCAGGTCGTGGATGGCACCTTTTACTGCAAGGAACCGGCCTGGTAGTTCCTCCTCCCTCACCACCCTCGACGGCGGAGCAGCCAGGGGGTATACGGAGATCCCCCGGTGGAGCGGTCAGTAGCGATGCAATTGTGTCCTAGTACCGCCTCCACCTGGCGGGGCAAACCGCCCCTTCCCTCCCGGGCCTGTAGGTACTCTTCTGATCTGACCAGCAGTGCTTATGTGGCCTGTGGAGAGGCTGCCTCCGCCCTACATGCCATGGCATTACTGCAGGTCCACTAGGCTCAAGCACTGAAGGACCGCACGAGGGTGGTCACGATCCGGAAGTTCTGAAAGAGCTCTGAACCGCAACTGACCTCGCGCTCCGAGCGATGAAGGTTACCGCGAGTTCTCTGGGTCATGCATTGTCCACGCTTGTGATCCAGGAGTGACGTCTCTGGCTGTGTCTGGTCGACATGAGGGATGCCGACAATGTTCGGTTACTCAATTCCCCTGTGTCCCAGACCAGCCTCTTCGGCGATGCGGTTCTTTGCCCAGCAGTTCTCGGCTGCACAGAAGCAGACTGAGGCGATCCGACATATCCTGCTCCGGCGGGCAGCTGCTGCCTCCACCCGTTCGCCGGCCGCAAAAATCCCAAAATCTCGACAAAAGAGCAATTTCCTCTATCTCTGGGTCTCAAGAGGGCACAGAGAGTTGTGGACAGTCCAGAGCCGGATCCCACTCATCCTCCTCTGTCACCAGCGGGCAGCAGTGGGCGGTTCGAGAGAGCTGGCAAAGGCCCTACTCACGCACCCTCTGCCCAACCTTGGAACCAGGTAAGTGTTGCAACGCACACTCAGACCCCGCTTCGTCAGCCCACGAGCTGCCC